AAATTCGAATGGAAATAACGTTTATACGATCGAAAACTGTTTCACTCGTGACCGTATATTATATTTGAGAGTCGACGCGAAAAAAATTACGAAAAACGATGATTTAGAAAATAATTCTTATTTATTAATGTTATTCGCGTTTTCATTACATGCAAATTAGAAATTCAAGTTACGATTGACATTTTTTTGAGCAAAAATTCGAATGGAAATAACGTTTATACGATTGAAAACTGTTTCATTCGTGACCGTATATTATACTTGAGAGTCAATAATACAATTCCGACGAGAAAGTTGAATAGATACGAGGAAAAAAGGATTATCACAAGTTGGATGGTAATAAAAAACTACTAACTCAATATAATTTTAATAAATACAAGAAATAATACATGAAAGTAGTCCTTATATTTTATTTTCATAAGTAAGAGACTAACCTCAAATTCCGCATTCTTCTTTTTCAATGAAATTGCGACTCAATCACACCTATTATTTCAATTATGATGAACACAACAACTTTTTGGCTTTTCCCTGCACATAATTATGTATACCACTGGATAAAACTTTCTATTTGTTCAATAACTTTTATTAATTCAACGAATTCGAACGCAATAAGACGCGAAACCCGCACGCACTTGAATCATACTGAAAGGAAAAGAAAGAAGGAACCCAAGCGACGCCTAGATTCCTAAGCGTCTGTCGATGATTTATCGATAAATCAGTCGGTAACTAATCAGCCGGTATATGAGATAATAAAACATTTCGAACAATTGTTCCGAAAGAAAATTATTTCGTAAATCATCTTTTTTAAACAAAATATCGATTGATACACAATCGTGAAATTATAAACTTCACGAATAATTACATAAAGCTTTCTCGTTATAAATTCTTCGATAGATTGGAAAAATATTAAAATTGACGCGAAATTTTTATAAACTTTCATACTCGATTATAAATAATATAAAGAGAATGAAAGCACACACCTTGTGTGTTCTCGTTCTGATTCAATAAGTTAGTCGAGATTGCGTGTCGCAAACGTTACGCCATATCAATAGCTTTCAACGAACGTTACACCGATTCCACTTCGTGTCAATTGCGTCGCCAGCCCTGTGCATTAGCCCAACCATTCCCTGGGCTTCGGTTCGTTCCCGATTCAGTAATTGTAACGCGAGCACAGAACCTAAATTCGACCGGATGATTAATAACGAAGTCGAGTTACCAGGGGTCCATTACCATAGAATCTTTGCCATTCACGCCGGTCAATTCTATTTTACCCTGAAAGCTGGAGCATCGGCCAGAGTCACGCTAATTACGATGGCCTCGGAAAATTCGAAAATGCATCGAGACGGAAACGCAATCTGGAGCGGGATGATTACGCGGATAGCTCGTTCTTTCGCGATCGGTTCGATGGTCACCCGTTTTCATCCTCAACGTCTCTAGACGTTCATTCACGTGGCCGTACGGCGGAGACAGCTCGACGTAGCTTCACATCCTATCTCGTCCGTGACGAAAATTGGAGCAGAAAAATAATCATTGAATGGGAATAAGCGTGTAAGACGGATTCACAAAGGCGTTATTATCCGTGGAGAGATTAAAATGATGATTCGTCGTTTGATTTGAAAAGAAACAGTTGCGAAGATTTTTTTAATTGCCTTGCCTTGCGATTCGATTCCCATGTGTACACAATAAATCGAAAATTGACACGTGTAGAAATAAATTTTACGTTCTCAATCGTTTTATGAAAAACAAATATGACTTGTCTCGCGTTTATATAGATTTATTATAACTTCTTGACCGAAATAATTTTAAGGATTATGCATTCGAATCATCTTTCTCAATATTGATTAATAATGAATATTGTATCGTATTTCTTACGCACGATTTGATCGATCCGAAACGATGTATTGAAAACGCTGTCTCGTTTTCGAAGGTGTTTAATATCGGTTACATTGGTTGGAGGTTGTTCTATTGCAGAAATTCCATTAGTCTTCTCGATGGAGATGTCCCATTTAGATCCATAATCCAAGGATATCTTACGGAATCTCATAAATCCTAGAAATTCCTCGCGTGCGTTTCACGGATCGTGCAATTCGATTACGATACCAATGTTTCGTAAGAAGGCAGGATAGGAACAGCTTCTTTAACATAATCGCGTTCATCGGTTTTGACATCCCATTATGGGCGAGGTTCACGGTAGACGCTTCTGTAGATAGCTATAAACCTTTCAACCTCCCGAAAGAAAGGAAGTGGACGACTTCCATTTTTGTGAAAATCATCTTGATAGAATTATTTAATCGATAGTTTAAAATTCGGGACATCGATCGCAAATAACCGCGATAATTCTCGTGGAAATAATTATATAGCCAGTTTTCTTTGTACGGCGAAAAGGGAGGTGCACGATACGCGCGCAATAATTTCAAAAAGTTTGATACAAAGAGGTCGAGAGTTGGATCGTAAAGAAAGTCGTGGAACGAAGATAACACTACTGAGAAATAATTATGTCGCGACAAAGATTATAAAAGTCTGTGCACGTTGGCGCTATTATATCAACGAGTTGACCGCTCCTTTGAAATATTCATTTATAAAAGATATACGCTTTGAGGTATCCCCTTTTTCTTAAGAGATAAAAGCAGGAGGGAACACCTCGCTCATCCTTATCACCACCATTTTCAAACCACGTCCACGTACGAAAACGTTCATTTCAATAAATATTGCGATATCTCGAGACGAAAATAATAATAATAATAATTCAAATCATTTGATCAATACTGCTGCAAACTATTCCATTTGTCCGATCGTGACAACCTTATTCTACATTCTTGATAAATTTCCGACCTATATTCCCCGTCTTGCCCCACTTGGCATCAACGTCTCATTCTATTTATTTGATCATGATCGATATGTCGGGCTAATGCCGGACTTATCTACTGCCAATACCCTCTACTATAAAACTCCATTACTCCCTTCTCAAACTCGGAAACAAAACTCGGAACTTGGTTGTCGCACCTTGAACATTCCCCTGGGTGGAAAGGAAAAGTATCGAAGTTAGGAGGAATGAAAAAAAAGGAGAATCGAGGAAGGAAACCGCGTCAAAGAAAGGAGGATGGCACCCTCGATCGCGCGCACGATCGATCGTTCCCCGTTCGATCGACTAGATAACCAGCGACGACAAGAGAACGACGACGAGAGAATCCTTTGAACGAACGCATAATCTTTCGCCCCTTATCGCCCCCTCCTTACACACGAAAACGTGTATCAGGATCGGTGAACAATGATTGTGGAAGGCCGAGCAGCGATGCTCCCAAACTTTCAA